CACTCTGTTGCTCAAGCTGGAGTGCATTGGTGTCAACATGGCTCACTGCAGCCTCCACTTCCTGGGCTCAAGTAATCCTCCTATCTCGGCTGGTTGAGTAGCTGGGACTATAGGCACATGTCAGTATGCCTGGCTAATTTTGTATTTTTTGTAGAGATGGGGTTTCACCATGTTGCCCAGGGCTGGTCTCAAACTCCTGGGCTCAAACCATCCATCCTCCTTGTTTTTCCAAACTGCTGGGATTACAGGCATGTGCCACCACACCCAGCCTCCAGTGGACTTTTTCATGCAAGAATATGCCACTGAGGTTGCCAGTTTTATCTATTTTTTTTTCAAGAGAAATAAATTTGTATGATGTCTCCTATGCTTAGCTAGCTCAAGATTTCATTTTTTTTTTAATGCATGAACCAAACAAAATATTCCTGTAAGCCAGGTCTGATGGTCTGGCCACTGGTTTATAATTTCTGATCTAATCTTATCTTCCCGAAAATGAGACCCAGATAGTTTATGTAGCTTGCCTAGAGGGAGCAGCTCACTTACAGCAGAGAGGAATAGTAATATCAAGACTCTCTTTCCATTTTTCTCCAATTCATGGATTTGCAGGGCACAGGAGGACCATCACATCGTCACCAAGTAGAACATGTGGGTCATAGAGAATGGACAATATTAAAAGTAGCAGAGGAAAAGCTAGGTATACTCCATACCTTTTATTCAGCCTTAGCCACGGTGAAATCCATGCTAAACTCTGGCAACATTTTATATGGCCAATTCTGAACCATATAAATATAAGCATCGGCCGAGTGCAGTGGCACACGCTTGTAATCCCAGCACTTTTGGAGGCCGAGGCAGGCAGATCATAAGGTCAAGAGATCTAGACCAGCCTGGCCAACATGGTGAAACCCCGTCTCTACTTAAAATACAAAAAGTAGCCAGGTGTGGTGGCACACGCCTGTGGTCCCAGCTACTCCGGAGGCTGAGGCAGAAGAGTTGCTTGAACCCAGGAGGCGGAGGTTGCAGTGAGCCAAGATTGCACCACTGCACTCTAGCCTGGCGACAGAGCAAGACTCTGTCTCAAACAACAACAAAAAAAATAAATAAAATAAAAATCAACCCAAGTCACAGAGTGAGGTTTTAAAATTTTATCATAAATGGGAGAAGATAATGCTTAGACCCAGGGTTAAGGTATCTATGTGACACCAGGATCAGGGTGCGGATGGTCAGGAAAAGAGAAGGTAGGACATATGCTAATGTCTCTATTCCCACAATGCAAGAGGGGTCTCTTGAGTATGCCACAGTAGCTTTCAAGTGCTCCTAACAGTGTGAAAATTACAACCTTTTGGGAACATAAAAGGACATGAAATTAGTTCCAGAGACTGGAAATCCTATTATCTCTACATTGGATAGACCCCACTTCTTGCCCTGCAAACCATTCTGGTTAGAGATATTGTGCCATACCACACAGAGCGACTGAGACTCATGCAGTGAAGAAACAGTTCTAGGCTTCTTGTCTTCCAAGTCTCTGGAGAAATCTTGCCCAATTAAATCATAAGCATAAAACAGAATGTTTAAAATCCACATCCCAGACATAAATATTGTAAGACATTGCTTATTATAAAAACTCTAAACTTAACAAATTTAAACGTAAATTTTAGTATTTATTGGGCAGCATACATTGTATTCCTCAAGTAAAGCATAATCCTTCCTTTGTTATACTTCACATTTTCTAGGAGATAGGCAAGTGGCCAAGAAAATTAAGACAAAGAGAAGTTTAATAAGTTTCATGACGTAAATCTGTAATAACTCTCTGACCACTTCCACTTACATCAAAGTAATGCATTCAACAGCCTAATGATTAAAATATAGATAGAGATTTTAAGCAGTAATGGAATTAATGTTAGTAATAGCTTTTTTCAGTTTGAAATGATTTGATTTGATTCATGAGTTTAATATTACATTAAAATTTATAGATATATTTGAAGTAGTAATTTGTAAGTCTTTAATTATATAGATAGCTCACTTTGCATACTCTATTTTGCCTCATGATCTTAAAATATAGATTATTTTAAAATACAGAATACCTTTTAAGAATTTTAAAAGCTTAAATATTGTTGGCATAAAATGTTTTTTACACTGATATGGGTTGCTTTTCATATTATTTCATTAATCTCACTTCAATATCAGACAGTAAACTTGATAATTAATTCAGGTTTTACCCCAATGTTGGTGCGTTTCTTCTTGGGTAATGTCATGTAATACAAATAGTTGTCCACTAAAAGATATCCCAATAATCTGGACAAAAAATTTTGGCATGAAAGCTTTTATAAACACAGAAATTTTACTTTTCCTTTTGTTTTAGAATCTTTGTGATCAGTTCCCGGTAAAAAGGGATGCACCTTTCTCTTTCTGATATTGCAGACGTGAAGTAGTGCCACAAAAAAATAAACGTATAGTTTCAATCCATACATTCTGTTGATATTTCCATATGACTAAGTATTCTTCCGTAACATCATTTTTAATGACTGTAATGTATTATGTGAGTGGAATGTGGTTTATTTAACCTGTCTGCTCTTGTTGAAATTTTTTGTTTTTTAAAATAATGTTTTTAACTATCCATGTAGCCAGAATTTTGCATACAGTCATAATCATCTCATTAGGGTAAATTTCTAGAATTATTATTATATTTAAAATAATGTAAAATCTTGATATTGTCTTATAGAAATGCATGTTAACAGTTTATATGTAGAGTACTGATATCCCTAACCCTCCAACAACAATTCATTATTAGTAGTATTATCTTTTGTCAATATAGTAAAAGTTTTAATAACCCATTATTTTAATATGCAATTATTTGATAACCACTGAGGCTGAGTAATGTTTTATACTTTCCTAGTTTTTAAAATAGGAGACTTGGGAGGGGCATTTTTCTAAAAGGTCTGTAAGTAACCCTGCGGAGAGCACCTTAATTTCATTAGCTTGAATATATCCATACCCCTCACTTCAGCTGCACATTAATGACATTAAAATTATGGAAACATAATATTTACTTGATTTGAAAAGGAGGCAAGCCCAAGCAAAACTCTGATCAAATTTCTTTTTTTAAAAAAATTAAGTTAGTGAAAAACTGTGAAACTAATTGTTACAAATAGATGCTACTAGCCTACGTGATTTCATTTTCTCTGCAAGATATATTGTGAAATATAAATCTTTTTGAAAGTGTGCATTTCCTTTGATGAAATGTACGTTTTGAATATATTTGATCTTTTCAGTTTCTGTGCATTTACATTCCTTTTAAAAAGTACTTCAATTCAAAATGTGACTTGAATTTAAAATATTTTTATCTATGCATGATTTTCAAATACATATTAAATGATCATTTATGTGATATATGAGATGTTCCTTGAAATGGGTCTGTGAAATCAAAAGACTTAAAATGTTATTGGCAGGAAATTGACCATATTAAAAGAGTTACCATTGCTGCATGACAAATAACCCCAATGTGTAGCATCTTAAAGCAACAAACATTTGTTATCTCACATAGTTTCTGAGGATGAGGAAACCAGAAGCATCTTAGCTGTGTGGTTCTGACTCAGGGTCTTTCACAAATTTGCAGTCAAGCTGTTGACTGTAGTTTCTGAAGACTTGACTGAAGATCTGCTTTTAAGCTCACTAATATGACTGTTAGCCGACCTTCCTTCTTCACCACGAGTCTCTCCTTAGGCTGCTCAGGACAGACTTGACTTCTAGAGTGATCCATGAAACAGACTTTGAAAAGATAGAAAGAAAAAGGAAGGAGGGAAGAGGGAGAGGGAGAGAAAGAGGAAAAGGAAGAGGGAAAGCCAAAGGTGGAAGTGTTAGTCTGTTTTATAAGATAATCTCAAAAGTGATGCACCATCAGTTTTACCATAAATTATTGACCTCACAGGTGAATCCCATCACAGTGTGGAAAGGAACTGCATAAGGTATATATACTAGAAAAGGCAGTGGTTTATTTAGAGTAAATAGTATTACTGTAAGTTAAAATTTACCATAATCAATTAGCTTGAAATAAATGATGTCTTTATGAAGTATATCAAAACCTGTCACTTTAGCTGTCTGTAGCCCTCTTTCAGCATTCTGAATTCTATAATCAAATTCTATAATCATCAAATCAGCATTCTGAATTCTCTATTTTTTTATTTTTTTAAGAAAATGCTTCTCATCTTCAGTGGTTTTTTTGGGGGCAAGGGATTTAAATAAAACTCTCTTTAAATGAAATTTTAAAAACACCGAAAGTATATTATCATTTCAAAGAAATGTGTAAGTACTTTCTTCTCTACTAATCCTCTTTCCTTTAAGTACTTGTATTAGTCAGTTCTCACACTGCTGTACAGATACTACCTGAAACTGAATAATTTATAAAGAAAAGGTTTAATTGATGCAGTTCCACATGGCTGGAACGGCCTCGGGAAACTTGTAATCATAGCATAAGGATATGGGGAAGTGAGGTACATCTTCTCTAGGCGGCAGGAGGGAGAAGCCAAGCGAGCGAAGGGGAAGTGCCACACTCTTAAAGCATCAGATCTCCTGAGAATAGCATGGGGGAAAACGACCCCATAATTCAGTCACCTCCCACCAGGTTCCCTCCCTCTACTGATGGGGATTACAATTCAAGGTGAGACTTGGGTGGAGACACAGAGCCAAACCCTATCAGAACTTATCTTTAACAACAATAATTTAACAACAAACTTGATTCCTTAATAAGAAATATTTTTATCCCTTTGTATTTTTCATTTTGTAAAGTTTTAACATGACTTCTTTTCCCCTGGAGTTTATTTAAAATGGGAACCACTTCAGTAGTCACTTCATATCACTTGTGGCCCAAGTGAGACTGATGTCATGTCATGGAGTGCAAAGGAGTCTGTGAAGACTTTAGTATAGCCTATTTTGTTATAGAATTTGTTTTCATTTTCCTAAAACAACAGAGATTCAGCTGATTGTATAACGTTATCTTCTTGTTCTAGGTCTCCTAAAAACCCAGAACAGAAGATCATTAAGAGAGTGATTGCTCTTGAAGGAGATATTGTCAGGTAAGTATTTACTATCGTTTCTGAGTTCAAAGTTTTATAAAATGTCTGGATTTTTGTTACCTACATCACTTGGGAAGTACCTGTCAATTCAAAGAGGGCCAAAGTTTTGGAGACATTCCTAATGAGCTGGTATATCTTTAGTGCCCATCATTAACCTTTCATGTTGTAAGGAATACATAAACTTTCTGATTATATTGTTATTCTTTAATCCTGAAGTAGAGGATAAATAAATATTAATTTAAATTAACCATCTAGGCTGGGCACGGTGGCTCAAGCCTGTAATCCCAGCACTTTGGGAGGCCGAGGCGGGTGGATCACAAGGTCAAGTGATCGAGACCATCCTGGTCAACATGGTGAAACCCCGTCTCTACTAAAAATACAAAAAAAGTAGCTGGGCATGGTGGCATATGCCTGTAATCCAAGCTACTCAGGAGGCTGAGGCAGGAGAATTGCCTGAACCCAGGAGGCAGGGGTTGCGGTGAGCCGAGATTGCACCATTGCACTCCAGCCTGGGTAACAAGAGCGGAAATCCGTCTCAAAAAAAAAAAAAAAAAAATTAACCATCTATTCTAAAATGACCATTAAATCACTATTCATCAGATATTAAAATTAGAATGATTATTTTAAAATTGTGATGTCAAGGTTCATTGAAAATTTCAAGGGTATTTAATACAGAAACGAAGAGGACTGTTTTATACTTATAGAGATGTGAGAAAACTGAAGAGAATGTGAAACAGAAACTACTAAATTAGTGACAAGAATGGAAGCCTGAGATGATAATATTGTAACAATCAGGTGTTTAAGCAAGCTTTAGTGATGCCGTATGTATTGTACTTGCTGATAAGTCAAGAACGATTGTTGACATTCAGCAAGTAAACATTGTGTGGCATGATATGTCTTGTGATTGCTTTCTTTAAATATGTTGTAGCCAGGCCTAAACAATGTTGTAACCAAAATGCTTTCAATACTACATTTTGGATGTTTTCTGACCTTGTTTTCTAAAAAAGCTTGATCCTAAATTATTTGTATTAATGATAGTACATATTAATCAACCTCACTAAAATGAACCTCAAACAGTTTTAGAGCCGATTCTAGACCAGCAGTTCTCGCTGCATGGCCAGAGGATGCCAGAGGATTCCCAAGACCCTTTTAGGGTCTGTGAGATTAAAACTACTTTCCTAATAATTCTAAGGTGTTACTTGCCTCTTTTTCACTCTCATTCTCTTGTGAGTGTACAGTGGAGTTTTCCAGATTTGTGATATTGGAATCGATTGAATGCAGGAGCAGATATGAGAATCCAGCTGTTTTCTATTAAGCCAGACACCAAAAAGATTTGCAAAAATGTAAACAAATCAGTCTTTTTATGATCTATTATTTGCTTTTGGAAAAGAACTATATTTTTTATTTAAATCCTATTGTTTTTGTTAAACTAAGAGTTTATTACTGGTATTTTAAATTAAATCAATAAATGAAATTTTAAAATAATTTTCTATTTTAGTTTCTAATATGATAATTACTGATAAATAGTGACCACATAAATAAGAGTTTTTTGGATTTTTAATTATTATTTAAAATGTGAAGAGGTCCTGATACTAAACAATTTGAGAACTTATTGATGTACAAATTCATGGCAACAATTTTCATTTCAGGATTGACTGCTCATACTAGTAGCCTACACGATATCAAAAACATGGGGAGAAATGCCAGATATAGGTGACAGGGGGATGAAGGCAGCAAACCACCTTGCTATGTATGTACCTATGCAATAATCCTGCATGATCTGCACATGTACCCCAGGACCTAACATACAATAATAATAATAATAAAAAAAAAGACACAGAGATGCCAACACCTGAAAAAATTTTTGATCGAGGTATAATTTATTTACCTTGCAATTCACCCATTTCAAATATACAGTTCAATGAGTTTTAGTATAAATTTATACAATTTTCCAATCCTCATAACGATCTAGTTTTTCGAACACTTCTGTTACCTGTTACCTTCAAAAGTTCTCTCTTGTCCATTTACACTAAGCTCCTGCTTTCACTCCCAGCCCCAGACAGCCACAGGTCTGCTTTCAGTCTCTAGAGTTTAGCCTTCTCCAGAAATTTTATGTAAATGGAATTATACAATATATAGTCTTCAGTGTCTGCGTTTCTTTTGTTGTTGGAAACAGAATGTTTTGTAGGTGTCTCTGTATTGTGCATATTGTCTATAGTTTATTTTTATTCCTGAGTATAATCTATTTGATAGACTTACCATATTTTGTTTATCCAGTCACAACTTGATGCATATTAGGATTGTTACCAGTGTGGGGATCCTATGAGTAATTCTGTAGATATTGGTATAAATACTATAAGCATTTGCATCTTCTGGTGGAAATATAGTTTCATTTCTATTGGGTATACAGTTGGCTCTCTGTATGCATGGGTTCCGCATCCCTGGTTTCAACCAACTGAAGATAGAAAACATTCAGAGAAAGAGAGAAAACAAAGGATACTGTGTCTGTACTGATTAAAAAAAAATACAGACTTTTTTTCTTATCATTATTCCCTAAACAATGCAGTAAGACAAATATTTGCATAGCACTTATATTGTATTAGAAATAAACAATCTAGAAATAATTTAAAGGATATGGGGGAAGTGCATAGTTATATGCAAATATTATATCATTTTGTGTAAGGAACTTGAGCATCTGTGGATTTCGGTGTCTGGGGGGATTTTGGTATCTATATTAGTGGGAACAAATCTCCCACAAATACAGAGGGACAACTGTATCTGTGGGATGTTGAGTGTTATGGTAGATGCATGTTTACCTTTCTAAGAAACCATCAAACCATTTTAGAAAGTGGCTGTATCATTTCATGTACTGCCAGCAATACATTGGGAATCTAGTTTTTTAAATATCCTTGACAGCACTTGATATTGTGTATATTTTTTTATTATAGCCATCCTAGTGGGTGAGAAGTGGAATCTCATTGTGGTTTTGAATTGCATTTCTCTGAATGCTAGTAATAAAAATAAACTACAGTGCACACTTTCCATTCATATCTCTTTTTGGGTAAAATATTTGTTCAAATCATTTGTACATTTTATATTGGGTTGTTTATATTTTGAGTTATAAGAGGTTCTTTGATTATTTTAATGGAGTGAGCATTTGGGGGAGGATGTATAATGCTGTGATTTAGTCAGATGCAGGTCTGTTCGTATAAAAGGACTTAGTTATCATTTCTTATAGAATGTACGTTCTAAATTAGAAGAACTTGGTGACTATTTTTTTCAGTAGCCTCTCCAGCCTTCTGCTTTGTGGCAGAAACTGGGAAGAGAAAATTTAGAAAACCGTTGGATGTACTTCCACAAATATCCAAAATACACTTTCAGTATTTGGAAAACAGTGTGTAAATATGATGCAAATCCCATTCAAAGAATGTCAACAAACCTTGAAAACATTACCCTAAGTGAAGGAAGCCAGTCACAGAAGACCACATACGTGTGATTCCGTTTATATAAAAGGTCCAGAATAGAGAAATTCACAGAAACAGAAATAGATTAGTGTTTCCCAGAGGCACTGGAAGAGGGGGAATGAGAGTTACTGCTAATGAGTGTAAGTTTTTTGTTGTTTTGGGGGGTTATGAAATTGTCCTAAAATTAGACTGCAGTGACGGTTACAGAACTCTGTGAATATACCATACTAAAAACATTGAGTTGTACATTTTAAATGGACAAATTCTATCTTATATGAATTATATCTTAATAAAGCTAATTTTAAAACCCAAAAGAATGTGACACCAAAGCAGGCAAAAACGTCATCTATATAAAGCAATCTACCAGGATTAGAGTACCAAGGGGTCCATTTTACATTATAATCCAAAGAAAACACAGCTTTTAACTCAGATGCATCAGTATTGGTTACTAGCTGAACAGCCAACAGTATGAAACTGCAAAGATTGATCAGACATAAAAAGCTTTGTACAATCAGAAATCCTACAACAGACCTTTCTGAGGAAAAGTTCAGGTCGTTGCTTTCCTCAGTACATGCAAATATTGGGTGTACAGCGGAACCAGAGCCAGAGCAAGGGCTAATGATGCCAGGTTGGGATTTGAGGGAGCAGGAGTTGGATGATGTAAAAGGTCTACATTCTTTCTCCACTGCTGGAGCCCTCATGCAGTCTGTGAATTGACACCAGGGGCATATGGCTCTATCTGTCCCCCTTTGGTACACCTCTAATATGGAGCAATCAAAAACATAAATAATTGACTTTCCAATTGTGAGGCCTCTAAAACTATTTGATAATTGATTCAAAAAATAATAATTTCTTAGTGTTTGATGTTTTTAAATAAAATCGAAAACTTTTCCTTTGAAACATTGGTACCTGAAGATCCTTGACTTTCTGGATTTTATATTAATAACTGAACACATATATTCCTATAATGATTTTCCAACAATGTTGAAATGTTAAGAGGTGTTTAGATAATAGAGTGTTATTTACTGGTAAACCTACGTCTTTTCTCTGTGATTCATTTTTAAAGTGAATATTAAAAACTATAAAAATATGCTGTCTACTACTAGAAGCCATTAGTCTGCTGGTCCCCTGACTTGGGATAGGCAAGGTGCTTTGGTCTGTGATGTGGATGCCTCCATCCCATCTTTCCTCTGGATATTATTAGATTACCTAGTAGGCAAGCAAAATTCAAATATAGAGCACCAAAAGTATTTTCTTGGAAAGAAATTTGATATTTCATAAAGTATCAAATATAGAGCACCAAAAGTATTTTCTTGGAAAGAATTTGATATTTCATAAAATGGTCAAGGAAAACAGTCTTATTTTTTAGGACTTCTTAAACTTACTGTAGGTTTCAGTAGTATTTTTATTTTGAATTACATATAATTAGAGGTTAGAGAACGAACCAAAATTTTTTTGGAGGTTAGACCCATTGAAGGATTAATACAATATTCCATTTAATATTCTGTTAGTTACACTCCATTAGGTGGCAAAAGCAGATATGTAGTGAAATATAGCTTAAAGAGCACTTAAGGGTATTTGGGGAAGTAAGGGCAGTTGGAGCCAGGGTTCAACCTAGCCTCACTACAGAATGGGAATGGCAGGGTTGCAGGAGTTCTAGTTTTTGTCACTTGCACCCTCTGTCTACTGGCACATTGCTTTTGCCTATCTGTGTTTTGGTTGGCTTTTGCCCCACCACCAACTGCTGACTTCTTGGATGTGCCTCATGTCTAAATTACCTGAGAGAAGTCTGAGCATCGCCCTTTGATATACAGATCTAGGACCTGTCCACTTGACAGATAGCTGGTCAACCAACTACCTTTAGGGTAGGCATCCTTCCCTGTTCCTGTCAGCTGTGGCTAGGTAGACCAGTCGTCTGCTGCACACCTTGTACTTAAAAGGAACCTGTTGGTAAGGGCTTGTTGGTATGACATAAGATGAGACATCCCAGAATGGGCATTACAATAAACAAACACTTTACTCAGAATTACCTTTTGAAACATTTCAATAAAACTGTAATCTTCTCTCCTCGGAGTTGTTTTGACATTACTCTCTGGGGAAAATCAACTGTTGTAAAGTTTTGTTTTAAATTACAGAAATAACGCAAGCTTGTAAAACTCAAAAGGCTTTAATGAACATCCTTGCACACATACCTTTGTATGCTTGTATGTTTCTTTTTGTAGAACAGAGAGATGAAAGTGGAAATATTGGGACAAGTTTGTTGTCGTTGTTATTGTGGTTGTTATTTTTACTTCCAATGTATACTGCCAAATTTTCCTTTTAAGAGGTTTGTGTACATTTATACTCTTATCAACACAGCGTGAAAAACCATTTTAGAGAAATTTTAGAGACAATTGATTTAAAGGTCATGTGCAATGGGGATATTTTGAACTTAAGATTTGCAGGGTAAAACATTTCAACAAATTTTAAAACTGGTTTTGGATTATGAGGTTAAATTTCATTTAAGCAGTTCACTGACTGTGTAGAACTTAGTCGCATTCTTTTAATAAGTATTGTGGTCTAGATACTGGAGAGACATAAGTGAACAGAAGAGACAGTGTTCCTCCTCTCAGGATGCTAACTTTCTAGTGGTTAGAAGCAGACAATAAACAAATATATAAATTTTTAAATATACATTACATACATTTTTATATACATTACATTTTATAGACATATGCATTATATGTCTATAATAATACAATGTCATGAGTAAGAAGTACTATGAAGAAAAATAAAGTATAAAAAGGGGTAGAGAGAGATGGTGAGGATATGGAGCTGTTTTTTAGGTAGAATGTTCACTGAAAACTTCTGTTAACAAAATGATGTTTGAAGAGACTCAGAAATTAAGGAAGAGAGGAAAGAGTCATACTAATGTCTGAGGAAAGGAGAGTTCAAACCAAAGGAATAGGAAATGCAAACCTAAGGTGGATAGGTGAGTTCAAGGATGTACAGACTATTGAAGAAGGGAAAGACTTTAC